AAAGTAAAGTACAAGTGAAGCTTAGAGAGATGCAGGATTCTAGGCTCAGTAAGAAGGCAGATAAAATTTAGTTTTATGCAGATAGTAACAATCCAAAGTGCTTTTATGATGCCCTGAAGGCTATTTATGGGCCAAAGACCTATGGTGGATCTCAACTACTCAGTGCTAATGTGGGCAGGTTGATTAGTGCTAAGGACATGATCCTGAAAAGATGGGCTGAACACTTCCATAGTGTTCTCAACAGACCATCAACAAGCAATGCTGAAGCCACTGACTGTTAACCCCACGTTGAAGTCAATCCCTCTCTAGCCAAGTTTCCAACTGAAGAAAAGGTTCTGAATTCCATTAAGCTCCTCTCCTGTGGCAAAGCACCTGGTACTTACTGATTCTATTCCAGTTGAGATTTGCACAATGTGAGATCCATTGCTCATAAAAAAGCTGACCGAAATTTTCTAGGTTATATGGCAGGAGGAGATTATCCCCCAGGACTTTAAGGTCTCCTTTGTTGTCCATCTCTATAAAGATAAAAGAAATAGATTGTCCTATGACAATCACAAGAGTGAAGGGGGGAAGGAGATTTCTCTCTTAGCCATTGCTGGCAAGATTCTTGCCTGGGTGTTCCTTAATAGGCTGATCCTTCAAATGGAAGATGGTCATCTACCTGAGAGCCACTGTGGCTTCAGAAAGGGCTGAGGAATTGTCCATATGGTGTTTGTTGCTCAACAACTCCAGAAGAAATGCCAGGAGCAGAACAGAGAGGTCTGTGCACAACGTTTGTTGATCTAGCCTTTTATAATGAATATGTCAAAATTTGGTTGCCTGGAGAAGTTCATTAGTATTTTACATCAATTTCATAATGGCATGCCTGCCCAGGTTCTGGATAATGGATGGTGCTCATGAGCTTTCCCAGTCACTAGTGGAGTGAAATAAGGCTGTGTTCTTGCTCCCATTTTTCAGCAGGATGTTTTCAGTAATGCTATTAGGTGCCTTGAGTGAGGATGGACATGGCATCAAGGTCAGCTATTGCACTTATTGTAAATTATTTAACTTGAAAAGGCTACAAGCCACAAATAAAGGAGAGGCAGAGTTGGTGCATGATTTTTTATTCATGGATAACTGGGCTCTCAATGCAGCCTCTGAAGAAGAGATGCAACAAAGAACAAATCAATTCTCTGCTGGTTGTGCTAATTTTGGCCTAACAATGAATACCAATTAACACCAAAAAACTACAGCTGCTCTACCAGCCAGCACCACATTATCCATACATGGAACCATCAGTTATAGCAATTGGATACTGTGGAGTAAGTTCATTTACCTTGGTAGTATACTTTCCAGGGATGTACACATTGATAATGCGGTTAACACATGACTGTCAGAGCTAGTTCAGTGTTTGGGAGGCTCCAAAGGAAAGTGTTTGAGAGAAGAGATATTTAGACTGACTACCAAACTGAAGGTCTACAGAGGTATTGTGCTGACCTCATTGTTGTATGCCTATGTAACCTAAACAGTACACTAGTGCCATGCTAGGAAACTGAATCACTTCCATTTTAATTGTCTTAGGAAGATTCTGAAGATCACCTGGCAGGATAAGGTGCCAGACACTGAGGTCCTTTCTTGAACTAAACTGCCAAGCATTCAAACTCTACTGCAGAGAAGGCAACTCTGATGGGCTAGTCATGTTGTTCAAATGCCAAATATACACTAGTCTAAAAGACTATTTTATGGAGAACTCACTCAGGGCAAGCACTTGCAAGGTGGTCAGAAGAAGTGATACAAGGACACTCTCAAGGCCTCTCTGAAGAACTCTGAAATTGACTGTGAGACATGGGAGACACTGGCATAGGACTGCCCAGCATGGCACACCCTCATCAAAGAAGGTGCTGTGCTCTATGAGCAAAGCAGAATTGAACTAGCCCAAAAGAAACACAAGATGCACAAATTTAGAGAATCCACCCCAAATGTTCACATGGAATATTTGTGCCTGACCTGTGGTAGAGCATTCCAAGCTCATTTGGTCTGATTAGCCACAGTTGGGCACATTGTAACTTGACTCTAACAGTGATGTCATTTTGGTCTTCTTTGAGAATGAAGGACAACAACTAACCATATAGCTTGTTTGCACATAGTTGTTAGCACACTGTATCCTCCCTTAGACTGGGAGCAACTTGAAAGCAGTAACTGCATTTTACCTTTCTCTGTATCCCCATGGCTTAGCAAAGTGCCCGACACTGAGCGGGCACTAAATAAATGTTTACTGACTGAGTTCCTCTATCATACTATCCTGACCCAATATAAGGCTCTTTAGATACACTCAGCATCAGACCATATAAGTCTTCCAGGTTTTTCTGAAGTCAACCTGTTCATCATTTCTTATAGCATAATAGCATTCCATTACATTCTTCTACCACAGTTTGCTCAGCCATTTCCCAATTGATGGGCATCCTCTCAATTTCCAATTCTTTGCCACCACAAAAAGAGCTGCTATGAATATTTTTGTACATGTGGGTCCCTTTCCATCTGTATGATCTCTTTGGGATATAGCCCTAGAAGTGCTATTGCTGGATCAAAGGCTATGCACATTTTTGTAGCCCTTTGGGCATAGTTCCAAATTGTTCTCCAAAATGATTGGATCATTTCACAACTCCACCAACAATGCATTAGTGTTCCAATTTTCCTGCATCTTCTCCAACATTTATCATTTTCCTGTTTTGTCATGTTGGCCATTCTGATAGGTATGATGTGGTACCTCAGAGTCATTTTGATTTGCATTTCTCTAATCAATAATGATTTAGAGCATTTTTTCATATGACTATAGATGGCTTTAATTTCTTCATCTGAGAACTGTATGTTCATATCCTTGGACCACTTATCAATTGGGGAATGGCTTATATTCTTATAAATTTGTCTTAATTCTCTATATATTTTAGAAATGAGGCCCTTATCAGAGAGACTGGTGTAAAAATTCTTTCCCAATTTTCTACCTTCCTTCTAATCTTAGTTGCATTGGCTTTGTTTGTGCAAAAACTTTTCAATTTAATGTAATCAAAATTATCCATTTTGCTTTTCATAATGTTCTTTATCTCCTGTTTGGTCATGAATACTTCTGTTCTCCATAGATCTGATAGGTAAACTATTCCTTGTTCTCCCAGTTTGCTTATAGTATCAGCCTTTATATCTAAGTCATGAACCCATTTTGACTTTATTTCAGTATATGGTGTGAGATGTGGGTCTATGCCTAGTTTCTGCCATACTCTTTTCCAGTCTTCCCAGCAGTTTTTTTTCAAAGAATTGGGTTCTTATCCCAGAAGCTGGGGTCTTTGCATTTATCAAATAATAGATTACTATAGTCATTGACTACTGTGTCTTGAATATTTACCCTATTCCACTGATCCATCACTCTATTTCCTAGCCAGTACCAAGCACTTTTGATGATTGCTGTTTTATAATACAATTTAAGATCTGCAATTGCTAGGCCACCTTTCCCTGCATTTCTTTTCATTAATTCCTTTGATATTCCAGATCTTTTGTTCTTCCAGATGAATGTTGTTATTATTTTTTCTAACTCTATAAAATAATTTTTTGGTAGTTTGATTGGTATGGCACTGAATAAGAAAATTAGCTTAGGTAGGATTGTCATTTTTATTATATTAGCTAGGCCTAGCCATGAGCAACTGATGTTTTTCCAGTTATTTAGATCTGATTTTATTTGTGTGAAAAGTGTTTTGTAATTCTGTTCATAGAGTTCCTGGGTTTCTTTTGGGAGGTAGACTCCTAAATATTTTATAATGTCTACAGTAAGTTTAAATGGGATTTCTCTTTCTATCTCTTGCTGTTGGACTTTGTTGGTAATATGTAGAAATGCTAATGATTTCTGTGGGTTTATTTTATAGCCTGAAACTTTGCTAAAGTTGTTTATTATTTCAAGTAGTTTTTTACTTGATTCTCTAGGATTCTCTAAGTATATCATCATGTCATCTGCAAAGAGTGATACCTTTGTTTCTTCTTTGCCCATTCTAATACCTTCAATTTTTTTTCTTTTGTTATTGCTAAAACTAACGTTTCCAGTACAATATTGAATAACAGTGGTGATAATGGACAATCTTGTTTCACCCCGATCTTATTGGAAATGCTTCTAACCTCTTTCCATTACATATAAGGCTTGCTGAAGGTTTTAGATAGATGCTATTTATTATCTTAAGGAAGACTCCATTTATACCTATGCTTTCTAGTGCTTTTAATAGGAATGGGTGTTGTATTTTGTCAAAAGTTTTTTCTGCATCTATTGAGATGATCATGTGGTTTCTGTTGTTTTTGGTGTTGATATGCTCAATTATGCTGATAGTTTTCCTAATATTGAATCAACCTTGCATTCCTGGTATAAATCCTACCTGGTCATAGTGTATTTTTTTGGTGATAAGTTGCTGTAATCTATTTGCTAATATTTTGTTTAAAATTTTTGCATCTATATTCATTAGAGAAATTGGTCTATTATTTTCCTTTCTCTGTTTTGACTCTTCCTAACATGAAGTTTTTCATAGCAGTAATTCTTAGCATACAAAATTTGCAGAGGGTACCTGGAGAGGGAACATGGGGTGGTAGATTTATAGCTGACTTTTAAAGACCTAGGTAAAAATCTTGCCTTAGACTCTGACCCAGGGCAAGTTAATGAACTTGTCAGTGACCCCAGGTATGACAGCAGAGCAATTGGTGGTGTGGTGGTGTGGTGGTGTGGTGGTGGTGGTGGGAGGAGAAGAGTTTAGAGATTAGATGGTACATATTTCACAACTGGAGTTTACTTTTAAGACTGTAAAAAAAATGGCTAGAGCATTATGAAACTGAGGGGGAGGGGGAACATCTCCTCTGTCAATAAAAGAAACAGGTTAGTTATCCCTAGAAAAGATCCAAGCTTAGCAGGGTTTAAACATAGCTCCAAAATAATAAAAAAGTGTCATAGTGATAACCATACATTACAGAAGTAAATTAAAGTTGTCTGCACTTACCTGCTTGAAAAGTTGAAGGTTCACTGCAGTTTCCAAAAATTGCTTCATCAAGCTGGAACGATGCTTTACAAAACTATTCTCACAAAAAGTGATGGGTTCACCCTAAATTTAGACAGAGATTGTAAAGGCATCATCAAATAATCATGAAATTACGGGGTATTTAATATATATAAATGTCTACATCTATAGCCACACACATATATGCATACTTATATGTGTTCTCTCTCTCTCTCTCTCTCTCTCACACACACACACACACACACACACACACACACACACACACACACACAAATGGGTTCTTTGGGATATATGGGCCTCCTTTCATGGAGCTTATAGGACAATGAGAGCGACATATTGTTCAGATCTTATAAGAGAAATGATTGTTATTAATTAAGAAATATGGTTCTTCCCAACAGGATCTGCTAAGTACAATATACTTTTAATTAAATACAGACAAGTTAGGACACCTGATAAGTAAATAGTGATGCTTAATTGCAGTTTCCCTCACAATGAAATTGAACCAGGCCTAAGTAAGGGAAGCACTCAATCCTTGATACTCCCAAATAACAAAATTAATAAAGGCTTCACAGGCTTATTGGTTAGATTTAAAAAATGCACATCATGGCTAATACAGATATATGTTTTGTATGATTTCACAAGTGTAATTGCTGTCATTTTTGCTTGCCTCCTCAGTAGGTAGGAGCAGGAAGGAGGGTGAAAATTTGAAATTAAATTTAAAAAAAATAATGTTCAAAATTAATAATAAAACATGCAGATTGGCAAATACACAATAGATGTCAATTTCATTACAACATTTACATTTTTTCACTAACTATAAAATTCTGATTATTTAGTATTCTGAGTAATAATTTACCTAATGTGCTTATCATAAACTTAATTTTTTTATGAATTGGCTCTTCACTTGAAAGTCTTATCTCTTCTTCATGATTACAAATGCAATTCTAAGTAGACATTTGTTCCCTACATCTGCCTTCACATTTTACTCCATTAATCTACCAATTATTCTTTTTTTTTTACATTTGCTTTATAGCAGAACTAGTAGTCTACCAAATCAGCATAGCTTCAGTGGCAAATACAAACTGTGCAAATTTTATCTGAGTCTATCATTGCTTACCATTCATGTACTTCAAAACTCATCATATAATTCTGACACTGGCAGATCCCTCACTATCTGTAGACTTCTTCCCTAAGTAGACCCTTGACCATCTAACACTTATAAAGACAGATAGTAGATTTAAAAATAATACTGGGGAAAAGTAAAACAATAATTAATGAGTTGCACTGACAACCCACATTTCAGTGTAAATAGGAAAATGCAAATATATTAAATCAGAGTTATATTTAGAAAAATTTAAAAAGTACTATTTAAGGAGCTGTGGAATATACAAAGACTAAATTCAAACTCCTTAGGCCAGGAGGTTATTTAGAAGGAGAGTGAGTTTGATACAAAGTAAGATACATATGAAGAAATAGTGGAAAGCCAGGCTGATTAGTGCCAGGACATAGTGGCCTTGATTATTATTTGGTATTTATAAAAATACCATTCAGTAATACTGGGTCCTCACTCTTGCTAGAAAATCCTTCTATACTTGCCTTCTCAACTCACTATTTCACTCTCTACACCAGCTCTTCTAAACCTTTTCATCCTTTCTCAAACCTCCCCCTTCCCTTACCCTCTAAACTGAGACTCTTCCCTCATATTTCACAGGAAAAAATTGAGGCCACTGTCAGTGACTTTGCTCTTCTCTCCTCTTCCTTATCTCCTATTGTTCAGATGCCTTCCACCACTATCTCCTCCTTCACTCATGTCTCACATGATGACTGTAAGGTACTCCTTCACAAGACTAATCCCTCTACCTGCTTAAGCAATCCCATTCTATCCCTGTCTCCTCCAACAGACTGCCCCTTCTGTAATCCTTACTCTATCACTTATTTGCAATCTCTCCTTGTCTACTGGCTCATTTCTTATTGCCTACAAACATGAACATGTCTCCCTCATCCTCAAAAAACTCTCACTTAATTCTTACATACCCACTATCACCCAATATGTCTTCTACCTTTTGTAGCTAAACTTGAAAAGCCCATCTACAACAAATGACACTTTCACTTTCTTTCCTCTCACTCTCTTCATTCTCTCCTGGGCACTATTTCACTTGGTGATCTCATTGACTCCATGGATTTAATTCCCATCTCTATACTGATGATTCTCAAATCTACCTATCCTGCCTCAACCTATCTGTGAACCTACAATCTTACATCTCTCAACTATCTTTCAGGTATCTAAAAATGGATGTACAATAGATATTTCAAATTAAACATGTCCAAAACCCCCAAAGCACCACCCCTTCCTACTTTCTCTATTACCGTACAGGGCAACACCATCCTCTCAGTCTCTCAGGCTCACAATCTAGGAGTCATCCTTTACTCCTCACTCTCTCTCATCCCAATCCATTACTAAGACTTGTCAGTTTCACCTTTGCAACATCTCTCATATATACCCCCTTCTCTCCTACGACATTGACAAATTGATACAGGCCCTCATCACCTCATACCTGAGTTACTGAAATAGCCTGCCAGTCAGTCTTCCTGCTTTAAGTCTCTCCCCATCCTCCATTCAGTCACTAAAGTGACTTTCCTAAAAAGTAGGTCCAATCATGTCACCTCTCACTTCCAACCCAACTTTGATTCAATAAACTCCAGTGGCTCCCTATCCCCTCCAGGATCAAATACAAAGTCCTCTCTTTGGACTTTAAAGCCCAACTTAACCTAGACCCCCTTCTACTTTTCCAGTCTTATCACACTTGACTCTTTGCCACATACTTTTCAATCTAGTAATATTGGCTTCTTGACTGATACATTAACTGGACACACTCCATCTCTTGGCTCCAGGTACTTTCTCTGGCTGTCCCCTATGTCTGGACTGTTCTCCCTTCTCATCTCCACTTATTAGCTTCCATAGTTACCTTTAAGTTCCAACTAAAATTCCATTTTCTATAAGAAATCTTTACCACCCCCTCAATTCTAGTGCCTTCTCTCTTTTAATTTTTTCCTATTTATCTTGTATATAATTTACGCATATTTGTTTGCTTGTTGTCTCTCCCATTAGAATGTGAGCTCCTTGAGGGCTAAGATTGTCTTTTGCCTCTTTTTGTATCCCAACATTTAATATAGTGCTTGGCACATAATAGGCACTTAATAAATGTCTACTGATTGACCCCTTTAGGAGTCTACTGCAATTGATTCGCTGAGATAATTCTCATTAGGTTGTACTCCAAATTTCTTCACCATGTCCCAGAAAACTTCAGGCTGGAAGATTACCTTAGTATAGGAATTCATACCTCCCAAGTATCCTTAGCCCCTCTGGTCCCTCCCCATGATTGGTTCTTGGAATCTCCTGGTAAAGAGGGTGCCTAGATTAGCTATTTCTTCATTCCTCACCAGGTTGCAATCTATACTCCTCTTGCTTCCTGTACTGGATACCTTCTACCACCACTCCTAACCCCACTTTTCACCTTTCTTTCATGTTCACCATTAGAATCTATGTTCCTTGAGGGCAAGTACTACTGCTCTTTTTGTTGGTATCTGTATTCCCCACTCTTAGTATAGCACATGACACATAGTAAGTTCTTAATACATGATTGTGAACAGAACAACTTAATAAGGGTCTGACCACTAGGAAAGGATTTATATAAGATATTTTGGAGGTAGAACTGATAAGATGGACTGTTAGGGACAACAGGAAGTAAAGAGAATTCAAAAGATTTCTGGCATAGCTGATAAGAAGAAAGGCTGCAGAAAAGGGTAAGTAAGAAATTAGTTTGAATGCAATGATGATGACTTTGTTCTGGATTCTTGAATTTGTGATGATGTTGGGATAGCTGGGCAGAGATGTCTACCATTTTGGTAGAAAATATGAAAGTGGAGCTTGGGATAAAAGTCAATACCAGAGAAATTATAATAGACATTCCAATGGCGCTTTAAGTTTGTAAAGTGCCATACTTTATCTCATTTGATGCCCACAACAACTCTATGAGGAAGGTTTTATTATCATCTCAGTTTTTACAAATGAGAGTAATTCAGTGTCCACTGTCACAAAGCCAACGTTAGATGAATGATTTGAACCCAGGTCTTCCTGACCACAAGTATAGTACTGTAATCACTATGAAATGCTGGTCTGGGAGATCACTGTGTGGAAGTAATTGTTGTTGCCTCAGGTAGATGAGATTGTTAAGGAAGGGAGAAAAGGGATAAGAAATGAAATCTACTATCTAAAGGAATATCAACATACAGATATGCCCAGGGTAACATGGCTAGTAATCATCTGAGGCCATGTCTGAACTCAGAAAAAAGAGTCTTTCTGACTCTAGGCCTCACACTCTTAGATGCCCTATATATTTGTATTTATTTTTCTAAAATTTATTATATATATATACACATATATACACACATATATATGTGTATATATATATATACATATACACATATATACACACATATATATGTGTATATATATATATACATATATACATACTTGTTACATATGTAATTATATATGTACTCATTGTTTCTCCATTAGAAAACAGCTCCTTAAGAAAAGAGATTATTTCATTTTTATTTGTTATTTGTATATATGACAGGTATAACAGTGCTTGGAACTATGGGTTCATAATAAATGCTTACTGATTAATCCATTCTTCAAACCTCAGAAAGTAATCCTTCCCCCATTCTTTTAGCTAAGGACCTAACTTCATACTTTCATGAATAAAGTCATTTGCTGAGAGTCATCTCCCAGTTCATGACTAGCAATGTTTTTACTAGATAGTATTCTGCCATCCTAGCTTTCTTTTGGTTTCCATGCAGTTTGTTTTTATAGCATTCTGAAGAGTTATTATAGACAGGAAAAACTTATTATTCAAAAAAATGATATTCACCCTGCCACAAATATATTTTTCAGATGTCAGTTTATTAAGTTAGAATAGGTCAAAAGACAAAACCTGGAAGAAATTAGATTTAACAGAAAAGAAATTAGCAGTAAAAATTACATTAACAATGAAAAATAATACAACTAGTTTATTTTTATG